TAAATTTCCGGTGCCATGGCTGGAATGCCTGGGGGCAGGGTTGAGACTTGCATATCTTTTCGCTGAATTGATTTGGGAATCTGACCTGTCACTTTCCCGGACGCCCTGTAGCTCCACAACAGGATGGGCTGGACTTGCTTGAGACAAGGAAAAGAGATCCCTGGTAGTGGACAGACATGATCTGATCATCCATGTAGACAATCAACACGGTGGAGCTTTGCCTGTTGTACCTATACATGCTCCGGCCACTCGTTCAAAGATCCGGCATTATTTCATTTGGCTACCACGCATCTCCGTGTACCCACTGGAGCGATTACTGACCCGGCAAAGCCGGCAAGGGCCCCGGTTTGGCGGGTCCATCCCGTCCGGCCTCACTTGAAAGCTCGTCCCTTTCTAGCACACAACATCCGTGTCTTCGGCGGGCTTGTCTAGTAAGCTTAGAGAGCGCCATTCTGGACTCATCAGAGAGGTCTGTCTCGAAGCCCTGCCTTTCTGGCTGCATGTAGCGTGCCTTTCCATGGGCGTAGAGATGGGCGTAGAGCAGCTGCACCAGATATCGTATGGGGAATAGGTCGTACACGATGTAAGAGCAGCTGCCCATGGTTTAGCCCAGAAGAAATGGGACGATATGGGGGAGTTCAACGATAACTACGTAGAACTTAGTGACACCATGTCGACTCTCAGCAAGCCTGTACATGGCTTTGGCTCACTTTCATACGCCCTTCCGATCGGATGCTACCGCTAACCGTTCCCTCGGTAAACTCTATTTCGGCTACGTCCAGTTGTATCAAGCTTTTTTCCGTCTTGAGCAATGTGTTGCGACTGGTCTGATATGGGTGTAATTCAACAAGTTTATGGAAGGTTTCTTTCGTCGAACCGCTTGACCGTCTGCTTAGATAGAGGTAGAGACCTGGAATGTCCGACATAAGCCTCACTGAAGGCGATGTCATCCTTGTGATATCGACATTTAGCTGTCTACTTCCGATCGAGTGAGATACCTGTGATACTTTGCTTTCGTCCTATCTATCAGATTTCGTAGTAGGCGACTCAATTGCGATTGGCATTGGCGATCGGCCTGGGGTGCTATCTGTCGACGGATGGCCGTAGGCAGACGACGTCCTTGCAGTGAAATGCGAATGGATGTGATGTTGAAAGCCGGGCACATCAGAGGAAAGTCCAGTATCTGGACCAATTGCACTGTCCAATTTTCCGAGAATAACATCAGCATGTAGGTATTCCGACAATGAGCATGAACGCTAGAGCATGGCGGGCTTCTCGGATACTTGGGCCGTCTGCCACAAGCTATCGAGAGCTGATAGCATTGGAATGACAGGTGATGATTTGAGGTAAAGCATGAAGAAGACTTGGGCTGTCAATGGAACGGTTAGAGAAGTGCAAACCCAAAGAGATACGGAGGCCTGTTGATATATTGAGCCTGTAGGAAGGAGCTAGAAAAGTTATCGATAGAAGGAAAGTGCATCTTCAGGTGGCAGTGATGGACTATCAGGCGCTCCTTCCTATCCATCCATTCATCCCCCAGCAACGCTCCATTGCGCCATTCATGTGGGTTGTCGTCATCATTATTTCGATGTGGCAGTCCTCGAGAATGCAAGTAGTCAAGCTTTGGGGACACTTACATGTCTGATGAGCATGATCCGAGCTGGTGTGATAATCACGTACAATGCCTAGGGTACAATCCAGGTTCGTGGCGATTAATTGCTGCTGCCTCTTATCTTTCGTATGCACGAAGAATAAGATTTCCGCCTTTTTCTTGAATTCGACGACCGAGGGTGTACGTGGAAATCTCCTGGCCAACCCGATACCACATACTCATCACCTAATCCATCATGGAGAGGAAGGAGATCACTGTCAATTTCTGATCTTGAGTGTCGACATGATCGTTCTTGACATGGTCGGTTTTCCTGTCGGGTACCTGCTACAGTTCGATGCGCATCATATATTCCTCTCTGGCTTGTATGTAGTGTCGCGAATCTAGTGGGCCTATTCCACCGAAATCTCGATCGCCGTATGAGCTATTTTGAAGTCACAGTCTTTCAATAGCACGTTTCGATTTGAGACCACGATGACAAGGGCTAGTATCCACGAGTTTGAATCATCTCACTGAAGTACTTGGCTAATCATCACTCACGCTCCGTTTTACCTTGGGCATCGCGACTTCGGATCAATATTGAACTTCTGGCCATGATTCATAGATCCAGGACACACTGCTCCAGGCTGTAACCAATACCAAAATTGTATTTACTCCGGACAGGAAATGAGGCTAAGGGACATATCTCGAATATCACGTAGAATGGTGGCTGGTGTAGCGACCATGGGGAACAGTATGTTGTATCATTTGTTTCTAGTTGATCAAAGGGGCTTGTATGTAGTCATTCATTGCAATTGTCTCTTTACGTGAATGCCATTAGTGTATACTGGTAACGTATGTCTCCTTAGGTTCACCCTGTATCTAGGCTCGGGAAACAGTTGCTCATCATGTCTAACAATCTAAGCGTCTCTGATAAAACCTCACGGATAGGGAGGAACGTGAGACATAATCTCATGCTCTGAGGCTAATCTACAAGCAGTCCCAGTGGTCCAATAGTGGGGGACTACGTCTAATGGTTCTCTCAACTTTCCGTCAGTCCTACCTGCGGCTAGCTTTGGAGTACGAAAACAACCCAGTTGGCTCCAACCAAAGTACCAACTGAAAGAAGGAATCTAGTCATGATAGCCTCGAACTTATCGCAGTTTAGTTATTCGCAAAACAAGTGAGAGGTTTAAGAAACGTGCCACGAATATACGGTTCGAGGGATAGAAATCCTAGCACCGAGTATGTTGCCGCATTAGTAGCAGTAGTGTTTCGAGCCACCTAGCTAACTGCGATACGATCACAACCGCCTGGTTCACTTGAAAGCTCCATAAATGCATGCACATTATCGTTTTCGGCCACAACTCAGGCCGTTGTGTCTGTTCACAAGTGTCATCGAAACATAACGACCCACTGGCTGTCATCACGTTTCGATAGACTAGCATAGTTGGACGCAACAGACAAAGAAACGCTGTTTTAGACCCGGATATTGTAATCCAGGCACATTTGACGACCGAGATGTCGCTCCGGGGGATAATTTATCTCTACCTCGAATAATGATTGTTGCAATTCATGTCTCATGATCCTGATGTGCTCGCCCGCCGCCGTGTTCAGCTCTAAAACGTGTCTAGAAACAGATGTTAGCTTCTTCTTCGGCCGTGACGAGTTGAAGCCAGCAAGGCACGCAAATGGGATAGAATGCTCACCCAAAGTCATGCTCATGCTGACGTCCGTGTTCTCCACCATCTTGGTGAACTCCTCAAAGCTGATCTTGCCATCCTTATCCAAGTCGGCCTCCATGATGGTCTTATCGACGATCTGCTGCAGCTGCTGGTCCTTAAGGTTGCTTCCAACCATCATCTTGAGCACAATGAAGAGCTCGCCATTGCTAATGTACCCGTCGCGATCGATATCGTACACTTTGAAGGCGAAGCGCAGCTTTTGCTCCTTGTTGCCCTTGCTGGAAAAGGCGCTGAGGCCTGATACGAATTCCTGAAAGTCAACGTCACCGCCACCATCCTCGTCAAAGATCGCAATCATTCTGTGTAAGATCGCTTTAGTAACGTGATTCGCAGCATATTGCATCGGAAGGATTTTGGCTACCTCGTGGCTAGCGGGTTGGAGGAAATCTGGGGCAGGCTGAGGAACTCATCGCGCTCGATTGTGCCGGAATTGTCCTGCACGAAAGAAGGTTTAGCAAGGTTGTCTTCTAGTGGCAAACGGATCGCCGTTGAGCGCAATGGAAAAGAAGATGAGTAGGCCAAAGGGGATACATACCTTATCCAGCTTCATGAAACGTTTCCTCAGGCGGTCAACTTCTTCTCTGTCGACTGCATACCGGTCAGCTCCAGCACAGCGAAGTCTGTGCGACAAAGGAGTCGACTGCGGGGGAGGGGCTCACAGTTGGACCCCTGGACGATGTTGTCCAACACCGTACTGGTAGTGTTGCCCATGATGGAGAAACTCGATATCGGACTCGACTAAAAGCTGTATGGGTGCACGGTGTAGTTGGCAGGAAATATTCCAGGGTCGTCGCAGTTGGGTGGGCTTGTGTCAAGCTCGACTTCGCTAGTTCGCCGTGGGGTTCGCCTTGAATAGGGAGGTTGACAGGAACAAGGCCTAGGTGCAGTGCGGCAGGTAGTCGAAGTAAAGTCAGGCGGCGGCCAGGCGGCGACCAGGCGCCGGATTGGATTCGGGCAGCTGTACCGGAGCCCACCGCAGAGTGCTTACGCACGGGCCAGCTCTAGATCTCATTGTCTGACGTACGACCTGAACGGGCTTGCGAAGTGTCAGATGTATTACCACCACATTTGAGTTTCGGGAGGATGGAACGAAATGAATGAGTCGAGATTCAATGCATATTATATCGGTTCAAACACCGGACTTTGGTGGTGAGGAACAAGAGACAGGACTACCTTTTGTCACTTAGACGCCTGGTACCTACCTAGCATCGCTCTTGCGGCTTTCTGATGTTGACAGATTGGGGATGGCACGTGACTAGCAGCTTCCCCTTTTCCCAGGCGTCCCTTGGGCAGGTGCCAGTCGCTTTCATGGGACGTGTCGGCCAGTCTTTGCTTTCCAACTCCGATCCATCTCTTTTGGCCCGAGCGTCCTGAAGTACCTCTACAGCACGTCTACTATTGCACGGTACCTTGAACGCCCAAATCCAACCCGAAAGGTCCTACCTTACTGCGTAGAAGCGCAACAGGAAAATTCTTCTTCACGCCAAACGCCAAATCAACGTCGCCTCATAGCCAGCAACAGATCGACCATCAATCCTAAGCCAACAACCACGATTTTTATCCGTCAAAACTTCAAAAATCAACGTCGCATGACCCCTTGTATGACTTGATCGACTTTTTTCGCGGATTTTCCGCTGGCTTTCGGCCTTCGACCCCCACCCGCCACCATGTCAACCAGGAAAGTTAGAGTCAAGAAGTTGAGCGTCAAGACGCTTCTTCCTGTGCTCAGAGAGACCGATATCGATGCTGCTGAGTACGAATCTTTGACTACCGAGACTCAAATCGCGACCGGTGTCGAAGCCGCCGAAGAAACTGTGAGTCACATCTTTGCCCATATCGCAGCCAGATATCACGTGACCCACCATGTGATATGCCTTGGCACCCCCGGCTTATCCACTTCTCACTTATAGCTCGCCAGAGCAACAACAGCCACATACTGACCGCAAATCAATAGGAATACCATCTCCAGTCAATTCTTAAAGAGGCAGGCACCAGCAATGACCAAGAAATTCCTGTCCCGCCTCCTCAGGAGAGTCAGATCAACTATGATCAACTCTACCCCAGTAACTTTCAGCAACCTACCTCTTTCATTCGCTTCTCGCAGACTGTCGAAGAATGCATTGGCGTTTCGTATGACATGACAACTGAGGATGATGAGTACTTGAAGCAGTACAATGCCACCAAGAAGACAGTCGCCTCTCAACTGTCAGAAGATGACTTTGAGCGCATTATGGAAGTGTTCGAAGACACAGCTTCTGAACAGACTCCATTCGCTTCCATAGACAACACAGTGGTCGGCTATGATCTGATGGTGCCCTCTCTTACCTCGCTCGGTGGCAACAAGCTCATGGCGCACTCCAAGTACGTCTACGAGCACTGGAAGACGCGCCGGCAGACGCTCGGCAACAAACCTATTCACCCAAGCGTCAAGTTCGAGACACATCAGGAAAGTGACGAGGCCGACCCATATGTGTGTTTCCGACGCCGTGAGGCCAGACAAACGCGAAAGACACGGCAACGAGACGTTCAGAGCGCCGAGAAACTCAAGCGACTTCGCAGAGAACTTGAAGATGGTCGGCAGCTCATCATCCAGTCTTATGAGCGCGAGATGCTCAAACGTGAACTACTTACCTTTGATCGGGCCATATTCGAGCAGAGAGCCAAACTCAAGGAGATGAAGGTCAAGCTCGGCATCAAAACCGAGGACGACGACCTCATCAACCACAAGGTATGTCAAACACCATCGTCCGGCAGTCCAGAGACGTGTGCTGACCGGGCACAGCCTCCCAAGAAGAAGCCCGTGGAGGCGCCTGCTCTCCAGAAGCCACCCGGCAACCACCTTCGCATTGCCGTGCGGCCGGATGGTCGATCCATGGAGGCAGACTTGTTGCAGCTGGCAGATAAGCTCGCTGAAAAGGAGAATGAGTTGCGCGCAGATGTTGAAAGCAAGGTCCACAACCACCGAAAGTGGAACCAGAACCATGTGGACCTCACGCGAGACCCCCTGTCCCCGGTCAAGGAACAACGCATGGAGGCCAGCTTCCGTCCTGCCAAGACTCAGTATCTGATGACGCCTCCCGCATCCACATCTTCCGAGTCAGATGCCATGGACGTTGATGAAGAACCCGAACCTGTACCTGATAGAAGCGACATGTCGGTCTTCCAGTTCACAGCCGGCGGCGGCAAAGAGAAGCCTTCCAGCAGCCAAGCAGCCTTCCGCCGACGCATTGGCCGTTTGGGTCGGCTATGGATCGACCGCCGGGGAATGAGTGGAATGACTACACCGCCGAGGGTGGAAGGTGAAGAGTATACTGATCGGTGGAAGTATGACCAAGACGACGAGGACGAACCGCAGGTTTACGAGGTGGACCCATATGACACGCGAGCCTTGAAGTTCCGCGCGACGATTCCCTTGTCGCAGTATGTGTACCAGCGCCGGCAACTTCCGCATGAGGGCATGGCCAACGGCCAAGCAACTCCGCAAGTAGCAGCAGCGGCTGGCAGACCTGCACTGCCGCAGCCTCCGACGCCGCAGCAGCAGGGTCAACCACAGCCGCAAGCAACGCCGCAGCAACCGCGGCAGCCGCCTCAGGCTTCTCCGCCAGCTCAACCTGCTGCTACCCCCTCATGAGAGATGGTCTGGCCTTCAAGGCGCGATCTCTACTCCTCATCCTCGGATGACGTGTGTTGTATACCCCCATTGGTGTTTTGGTTGTCTTCCGGTTTTGTACAAAGGGCCTGGTGGCTGGCAGGCGGGCAGGCAGGGCGGTCGGTTAGGCGTGGCGTTTTGGGTTGAGATGGGTCTCATGTAAAGTAAATGAATGTAAAAGAAGAGGAGTTGGAGACCGGTAGTCGTGGTCTACCAAGACGAAGGCCCTCGGCCGGGGTTAGATGATTCCCCAAAGACAATAAAGAAAGATGAATAATGTATTTCAAAGCCCCCCTCTATCGGTGACTCGATCGCCTGTTGCTCTTCCTGTGCAAGCGGAGGGAATTGTTCTCGTTGGCCATGGGTGCGGTCGGCCGGATCTTGGCGGAGATGACGACGGAGGTCGGCTTCCGGCGGCTGGCAGCGTCTGACTCTGCTCGGCGACTCGATGCGCATTGCCTTGCTCTGTGGTAGCGGGCAGTGGTAAAATAGAGGACCGGTAGCTTCACGAACTCTCGTGTGCCTCAGCTCGTGGTGTGTCGTGGTGTGTCGGGAGGGGGAAGGAGGAGGTAGGTAGTGGTGGTTTGTAAGGTGACTCGGAGAGAGCTTGCGACAAGCGGGTGGTCAGGCGCGGCATTATGCCTGGGTGGTGGTATCTGGCTGACAAAAACCACGGGTTAGCAGGTTGTTGAATTTGAACAGCTTCTGTGTTATTGTTCAAAGAGGCGAGAACAAACCTGCAACAGCCCTCACAGCTTGTTCAAGGAGAAAAGACGGTGGTGTTGTGGGTGAGGTAGGTAGTCGTGGAGGAGGTCAGCAGGTCGACCTTTGTCTTGTTGGAGAGGCTGTCTCTCTCCCCCGTCACCCCGATTCGGCTGATATGTGCCCGCAGATCCCTCGGCCGATCACGAGACAGGACAGGAAGAATGGGGGAACCATGAAGAGGGCTTAGAAGAGAAATGCAAAGGACAGGAGAGGAGGAATGAGGGAGAAAAAAAAAAGTGAGTATACCTGTAGCAACCGGCCGCAGAAAGAGGGGCGAGAGAGAAATATCCTGGAGCAAAAGAAGAGAAAGAATTGTGTAGTGAGAATGGGAAGGGGGAGTCCACTTTCTTGTCGAGGCTTGCACGGTGGTGGGTGTGGGGATAAATGTGTGTGCATTTTGAAAGCCTCAGAAAGGTACCTTTGACCGGGGTTTGTGAGCGATAAAAACGGTGCGCCAACAGGGGCAATGGGAAAATACTGGCTCTGAGTATGCCTAGATCATGGGCTACAGAATAGAGGTATCGCGTATTTCGTCAGTGAGGTTCAATCTCTTAGGGGAAAAGGACACAGAGACTGAGGAAGAAAGGAAGGAGACCGAGCAGATGTCTTGGGGTTGAGGTGAGGCGGGCGGCGTTTGCCGGGAGGTTACACCTAGGCAGGAAGGCTGGTAGGCTAAAGGTAGCGGGGGGGGGAGGGCGGCTCACCTGTGGACATTTGCGCAAAAGGCAGAAAAAGGGTCCGGTGCAGTACGGCGTTGTGTGTTAAGAACCGTTGTGACAGCTCTACCTTACGCAGTAGGTATGCTACGCAGCCGCGCTTCTGCTTCTGCTCTTGGGCCCGTGGGCAGGGGACCAAAATCCGGGCCCCATAATTACCCATCCACAGTTCTGTCGTTGGAAAACCGACATGGACATCCCACCAACGGGATTACCCCTCCTACGTCAACTTCTATTTTTCCATTGGCCCATGGCTGACTTTTTTTCTCTTCTTTGCGACAGACAGCTGACAGTGGCCATGCTTCTTTTGCTTATAGGAATTTTCCATACTTGTGGCGTAATAAGAGAATAGATTCGGACTTGTGAAACCGAAATCATCTTCTGGTATTTTTCAAAAACTAACTAATTCGTGGTGAGGAGGGTGAAATCAACGGTCGAATCTGGCAAAGTCCAGCCCCATGAGCGACACCACAACCCGTCCACCAAAGAGGCCCCGCGATCTAAACCTCGACATCGATACCCCACCAACACCTCAACACCACTACCAACAACAACAGCAACAGCAACCACCACCACCCGCAGCCATGACAGCAGAATCCCCCTCCAAGCTCACGACAGCAAACATGACCAAGAAGCGCGGCCTCATCGCCCTCGGCTGCGAAGGCTCCGCCAACAAGCTCGGCATCGGCGTGATGCTCCACAACGGCACAGAGTCCACCATCCTCTCCAACATCCGCCACACCTTCGTCTCCCCGCCCGGCACCGGCTTCCTCCCCAAAGACACGGCCAAGCACCACCGCTCCTTCTTCGTCCAGATCGCCCGTCGCGCCCTCCGCGAGGCCGGCGTCGCCGTCGCCGACGTAGACTGCGTCTGCTTCACAAAGGGCCCCGGCATGGGCGCGCCTTTAACCAGCGTCGCCGTCGCCGCCCGCACCTTGGCCCTGCTGTGGGACAAGCCCCTCGTCGGCGTCAACCACTGCGTCGGCCACATCGAGATGGGTCGCACCATCACCGGCGCGCAGAACCCCGTCGTGCTGTACGTCAGCGGCGGCAACAGCCAGGTTATCGCCTACGCCGAGCAGCGGTACCGCATCTTTGGCGAGACGCTCGACATCGCCGTCGGCAACTGCCTCGATCGCTTTGCGCGCACACTCGAGATCAGCAACGACCCGGCGCCGGGATACAATATCGAGCAGCTGGCCAAGAAGGGGACGCGGTTACTGGAGCTGCCGTACGCCGTCAAGGGCATGGATTGCTCCTTCTCGGGCATCCTCGCCTATGCGGATATTCTCGCAGGCCAGATGAAGGCGGCGCAGGCCAAGGGGGAGGAGACGTTCACACCGGCTGATTTGTGCTTTTCGCTGCAGGAGACAGTGTTTGCCATGTTGGTCGAGATCACGGAGCGGGCCATGGCACACGTTGGCAGCAATCAGGTATTGATTGTAGGAGGTGTCGGCTGCAATGAGAGGCTACAAGAGATGATGGGTGGGATGGCTGCGGAGAGAGGCGGCAGTGTCTATGCGACGGACGAGCGCTTCTGCATCGACAACGGCATTATGATTGCTCATGCTGGCCTATTGGCCTACGAGACCGGCTTCAGGACGTCCCTCGAGGACAGTTCATGCACACAAAGATTTAGGACAGACGAGGTATTCGTCAAATGGAGAGACTAATGCCGTTGGCCAATGCGGCACAAGCTGGCTGTTATTCATTTCTTTTGTTCACTTCTTTTGCCTCTTTTCACAAGGCAATCACTCTAAGCTCCGTGACGATTATCCACTTAGCGCAGGTACGCTACTCCATGCTCAGTTTCCTCGGTATGATCCCCAAGCCTCCAATCACTCGTCTGTTGTGGTGGGCTTGTATATGATCGTCGTAACATACTATTCGACTTGTTAGTCGCGGGCCAAGTGGAGTGCCGTAGCAGATGACAAACCTTGTTCTTGTAACGCGTGGTTGCAGACACAGCCAGAATGTTGTTCTTAATACTGCTGGTAGCAAGATGGTTGAGAACAGTATGGTTGGGCATGTTGAGCACACTGTTGTCGTCCTTCATAAGAACTGCGGCGTTCAAGATGGGCTTACCCAAGAACCCTGGCAAGCTCGGAGGTGTCGGCAACTTTTCAATAGCTGTAACCGCATACTGGTAAGCTGGCGAGTCTTCGGGCTGGTCGAAATCTACCAAGTACTTGGGGATCTGGTGGAAGTATTGACTGGGCGAGGGCACTTCTTTGCCCCTGGGCGCCTTGGGCTGCTCATCAGTTTGCGATGCCGAGGTCTTCGGGCCGCCCTTGTCAATGGTAGCTGCTGTAGCCACACCGTCCTTTCCAGGCTCAACGGGTGCTGTTGCCGGGATGTCATCTGCGCTCACTTCGATGAAGTTGACCAGGTTGTTTCCAAAATCCACGGTTGTTGGCAGGTCGGGTGAAGTCTGCATGATTCCGTCCACCAAGAACCTAACATGGTGTGTTCCCGGAAGAATGTGAATCGTGGCTGCAAACACGCCAGGCTGGCCATCGCTATTGAACACGCATTGTCAGCTCAGTGTTCATGGGAGCATCGGCTTGTGATATGGCACGTAGGGCTTGATGTAAATAAGGCAGCCAAGGGGCTGCTAGCATCTTAGACCACTGGAGAGTCACAGGTGTAACGCCGACAGCCGAGACTCAAGCCCACACACGCACAAGATTGAGACTTACACAGGATGTAATCTATGTTTGCGGTTCCATTGGAAGATGGTTCCTGTGACGTAGACCTTGCCTCCTCCCTTGCGCCATTCGAGGCGAGTGGGAACCGTTGGCCGCGTCTTATCGACAATCAACTCTTCGCCATCTTCCTCTTCGACTGTATTTGTGCTCAAGGCCGAGGACTTCCTAGTCATGCCATCCTCGAGGGTTTCCACTTCGGCCACGCTAGCGTCGTTGGCGTCGGTCGGGGCGATGATGGGCGAGCCCGGAGTGTGAATCTCCTCTTCGATGGGAAGTGGCATACGCGGAGGACGTGTCAAGTAAGACATGTCGTTGACGCTGCTGTTCCCAACCAGCGGTGGTTCAACCATGTGGGCAGAATAATGCGATCTGAGGGAGGAGGATTCTGTCGCGGCGGCAGCAGCTGGGACGTCTACGGGCTTGCTAGGCGCATCGCGGACGACGTTCTTCGATTCTGGGGGCTTCGGCGGCGGGGCGGAGTTACTCGAGTTTGATGAGGGAGAGCCGGTGGTGAAGTTGGAAATCGGGATGGCTTGGAGAGGCCTGGGACCCTTTGTGGCCGTGGAACCTTGAGCCTGGGTAAGGGAAGGTTCAGGCGGGGCAGCAACTCGCTCGGCAGACCGGGGCGGGATGATGTGTTTGGACTCTCTCTTGTGGTGGTGGTGCTTGGGAGAGTCCTGTGATGAGACAGGCGTGGCCGGCTTGGACGAGGACGAGGGGTTGTTTCCCATTTTGTGTCGTTTCTTCTTTCAGATCCGCCCGTAGGGTAGGTATGGTGGGACACGACAGCGTGGTCTCGCTGCGTCCTGGGGGTTAGGTGGGCAGGCAGTCCGCAGTCCGCAGTCCTGGAGCCTGGCCAGACCAACCTAAGGTAAGTCCTGGATCTCTTTTTTTCAGGGTAAGCGGCGAGGTCGGGCGGACACACGGCAGGCGATGCGGGTTGCGGGATGGGTTACGGCAGCGATGCAGTGGAAAGCGCGAGGGCAGCGCTGCCCAGAAGAGCGCAATGCAGCGATACGGCGGGCAGTCACAATCGGGGGGTCGTCGGGACCCAATGTTTCCACGTCGGGCCAAGGTATCCGTAGCTGCTGCGACTGGAGTTTGTGCGATCCAGGTTAGGTAAGGCGTGGATTGCACGACGATACCTATGTAGCAAAGACGCGGGGTTGCGACTTAATTATCGCATTCTCGAAAGATTGAGTCAAGGCGGGTCGATGGCGACGACGGCGGGGGTCGGGGGTTGTTGAGCTGTGCAAGAAAAAGAATGAAGCGGAGATTCGCTGGTGATGGGGCGAGGATGTGCAGAATGAACACGGCAGGTTCGCTGCTTCGAAGATTGGATGAGAGGTTGGGTTAGGTAGTTCAATGCCAGGCGAAGTTGAGAGAGTGTGGAGGGGTGGTGGTGGTGGTGCGTTCCCACTTGGATTTGGGGGGTTCCAATCTAGTCGAAGCCAGATAAGCTCTACATGATTGGTACTCCATATCCCATATTGCGGACCATGGGGAACCAAGTATCGGCGGGCCTCCGCTTAGCCCATCACTGTACGAAGTACAACTCGCAGGCTGACCTGACCTGTCACCCTACCGGCCGGCCTTACCGTCATCTCTACAGTAGCTGGATTTCGGCTTACCTGTCAAATGACCTCTAGCGTGTAGTGGCATTCTATTGTCCGTCTTTTATTTGGCCCTTCATTGTAAAGTCAGTCTTTCCGTACTTCTCAGAAATCATGAGCCAAATCATCACAAAATGGGAATGATAAGGATGGCGTGTGCCTCGTCGGCACCTCCCGCTGGTCAGTGCGCGCAGGCTTAAATTGCATCCTCCTCCCCTCGGCCTGATGAATCCAAGCTCCGTACCTCTGAAAGCGGCCGTCCGACTATCTTTCCTTGCCTGCTCGCCAATGCTGACCTAAAGGAGCCGGTGCTTCCTTCCAAATTCGGGCTGGAGCTTCACTCAACTTTTGTTGCAGGTACCTTACCAACACAACTCTCTGCCGTTCTCACAACTGGCCCACGCACCGTGGCACATCAACATCAACCCCCGAATTTCTGAACGAAAAGGCTGGCTGGAATGTGACCGGCCTCACATCGCGGAGTAAACACCCGTGTCACGAACCCACCGCCCTTCGATTTTAAGCTTCATCTCTCCTCAGTCAACTCTTACCTCCACTCTTTCAACAACCTCACAGGCCATCGTGATCTTACCAAATTGCCATGCCGGGAGATCAAAAAGTGATACTCTTCTCTTCAAGTATAACTTACACTGAGCTACCCCTGTAACGCTACGTCAATCGAAGTACCACAATCACGAGGCCTTCTCTTCACACCTCACATCATGGCACTGCTGTCATACGCCTCTGGCGTGTTTACTATCGCGACATGGCCTGCAAGAATAGTTTGGAAGCCTGTGGCGTTCTTCATCAACGTGATCCTCATACTACTATCGCCCCTATTACTCATGGCAACATTTGTATTGGGATGGTGCCAATCTGTCATCGACTTCATAGCTAGTCTCCAGGTAAGCAGACCCTCCTCCATCCTCCCTTGAAACGCATGTGGTTGACGGCATCGCTAACTTGCATAACACAGCCCCTTTATACCTTTGTGAGATCTCTGCCTTACCTACCCAAATATTAGACTGCTGATATATTAACCTTTCCCTTAGTTGGCCTGCGGTGCGTGCATCGGCATCTTGGCTGGCCTGACTATGGCTTGCACATCCGGCATCATCACATCTGTCCTCGGCATGCATGATGAGAGGTCTAGTTCTTTCTCAACAACACCAATGCCGGGAACACCATTGTCAGAGCGGCCCGGGACTGGTAAAACAGAAGACTCATCATCCTACGAGACTGATTGGCAGTTGCTGAACAAGCCGCCCCCAAAGAGACGGAGGCGAACTCCCGGGCTTTGGTCGCAAACGATTCATGAGGAGGACGACGATGATTCAGAGATTTGACTTTGTAATTCGGCCTTTCTTCATATAAACCACTACTGTTGGGAAGGGAAGCATTCATTACCGGGGAATCAATTGTATACCAGCCTTGCTTGGTATTATGCTCCCACCCCCAAACGCCTGTCCCAGTGCTTCGCCGAGCTGTCCTGCCATTCGATATTATACTGTCTTTTGTACAGGCCGCAATCTCATCTGCGGTACGCCTCCCGTTCCCGCATGGGAGAGCGGCTACGGCTGCGCGTCCGGCGATCCCAGTCTCGCTCGTGCCATCGCTCATCTCTACTATTGCGGCGTCGGTCGCGAGGAGGCCGGTCGTCTCTATGTCGTGGAGGAACATCGTCTCTGTAGCTCGGGATATACGTGTCTACGTCAGGACCTCTTCCTCCTCGACTTCTCGGCCTCCTATCTCTGTCTCTGTCCCGGTAGTCATCGCGGGGTGGCATAGGGCCGCCGTTAGCATACTCGGGTGGGGGCGGTCGCGGAGGTAAGCCTCTGTTGTCGCGCTGCCAAGCTGGTCGGCGTTCATCGCCGCCGTTCCTGTGACCTCCGGGTACATTGGCATTCCGACCGTTTACGCCATTGCGGTTGCTGTAAGCATCGGTGTTGTTGAAACCGGCATTCGCGCCGTGCGCCTCGGGGCCCATGCCCACCGTGCCTCCCTTGGGCGCTGGTGGGAGTTTTGCCTGACGATCGTGGAACTTTCGCCTGTCTAGTTCGTGGCTGTCCTCGAAGGTGGGTAGGTCTCCAGGTTCAGCTGGCATGGGAGCCATTTTGAAGTATGGATGGTTGAGCGCATCGGCGGCGTTTATGCGACTTTTCCAGTCGAGTCTGAGAAGCTCCTTAAGCAAAGAGACTGCTCCGGTTCCGTACTCTCTGAACTTGTTGGTAATGCTACCAGGCCGAGGGCGTGGGGTCACTGCTTCAGCACCAGGAAGAGTGTTGAAAAGGGGCATGTTTTCCGGCGTGGGCGACCCCATCAGATCCCAAATTATGTCGAGCTGGTGTGTATCGCTCTCACCAGCTAGAATCGGCTTTCCAACAAGCATTTCGCCAAAGACACAGCTGACAAATCATTAGTGCCGGGTGCCAAAGATGCGCCGATTCTGACACTTACCCAACACCCCAAACGTCAATAGCGGTTGTGTATCTTTTCAGGTGAAGCAGCAATTCCGGGGGTCTGTACCACCGAGTGACGACAAGGCCGGTGTATTCCCTTTTCCCCTCTCCTGCCCCATGTCCAGGCTTGGGCGTGGGCCCTTCGTAGTGTCTTGCCAGACCGAAATCGGCAATCTGGAGGATGCCTTTGTTGTTGATGAGAAGATTGGCAGCCTTCATGTCTCGATGTAGGATATGTTGGTCGTGCAGATATCGCAATCCCTCGAGGAGCTGCAGCATGTAACATTTGATCTGCGGTTCGGTGAAATGAACGGAAGGGTTGTCGAGAAGACCCGACAAATCGTGATCCATGTACGGGGTTGCCATGTACATAATTGGGCGCTTGCGCTTGTCGCCTGTCACAATTCGGGTCAGGAATTGCTGCTGGCGAATTGGGTAGTTGAGCATGAGCGACTTACTGGCTCTCTGAGGGTGCTCCACAGCCATGTCCACCAGCTGCAGGACATTTTTGTGAGAGAGCAGTTTCAGAAGTTTGATTTCTCGCAATGCCGTGATGGGGAACTGTCGAACATCGGTAAGTAGATGCGTTGACTATCTGGCAACGGGGATCACACGTACGCCATCCTTTTCGTGGTGCATGATGATCTTTTTGACGGCGACATGAGCGTTGGTCTTGCGAGATCTCGCATGGTGAACTTCACTGCGGAGCACATCAGTAACACGACCAGAGAAGTGAGGTCTGGAAGAGGACTAACCCGAAAGTACCCTCACCCAACTTCCCGAGGAGTTCGTAGTCGGAGATTCGTGAACATCCCTGGAAACTGGCCCGAGGACGCTGGTGCTGCATCGCAAAAGCCCGAGGCGACAAGCCTCCGTTGGGCGCACTGGAATCCATGATGGATGCGAAGCGCGGCGAGATGCGCCTGTCGCGTGAAAGACTGGCTTGCTCAATCGGACGTTCTGGTGACAGATGGGGTCAAGGGCGAACGACAACTAAACAGGTCGCATTGCTAGCGGTGGCCAGGTTTTCGCGGGGATAATCGTAGCCGACATATACTGATGCTAGAGTTAAGTATTTTCCGTCGATAGCAAAGAGCTTCTGTAGTTGTTAGATTTCACCTGCCCAGATGGCTGAGGATGGGTTGGTGTTTGGGCGGTGTCTGTGGCAGAATCTCAATCAAGTTCCAGATTGGCGATGATGGAACTCAGGTCGCGGAAAATCCCTGGTCCTGCATTGTGGGTCCTGCCGAGCGTGTCGGCCGTGTCCAACCTACCTAAGGTACGGAGTACCATGGACGAGAAAAAAGGAACGTAGGTACCTGAGCATTCGGTTGAAAAAAGGTGGCAGGTTCATTTTGGCCTAGTCCACGCACGTGCGTCATCGTCCGAAGGTAATGGAAGTTCTGCAAGCAAACTTGTCGCATTTTTTTAGGCTGATCTCAATTCGCCATCAAGCAAATGCCAGATCTAATTCCATCCTGGGCCGAACTTGGCACAACAAGAAATATCGACAACAACCGCAGAACTCTGATCAGCCTCTGCCTGACTACGAACAGGCACTCTGCGCTCCCACACGAATTTCGCAGTGGTCAGCGACTCACACCCTCGTCGAGTCTAGCCAGCCATGCCTGGTTCCTTGAAATGGTCACGCCGCTGTCGTGGCCGTTCTGTTACTTAATTATTACCCCTCCAAAACTCTGCCCGCTATCCGCTATCGGCTTTTGTCCCATCAACTCTGCCCCGCGATACTTGGCTCTACTCGGGTTTTCGCCCAAGTTTTGCGACAACTTTTTGGCTTATCGCGATAAGACATACCGTCAAGTGCGAGGGGCAATGTCTGGTCTTTGCCCGCATTCCCTTGTCCCTCCTTATCTAAGGCTTCGGCAAGCAGCCAAACCCAATGTCAGCCAGCTCTTGTTAGGTTCATCCAGGCTGTTGCCGTATACCGGACACCAAGGGCTCTTCTGACTGCCTTTAAATTGTTGATGTATGCCACAAATGACTTGATTGACTCGCCATCCGTCTCCACTCGCTTGCTTTCATCATC